GTCCGATTTCTAGCCTACAGAACTGTATGATGATACATTTGTGTTGTTTTAAGCCACTAAATTTGTGGTGATTTGTTATAGCCACAGTAAAAAATGAATACACTCAAATCCAACTTTGGCCTAGAAAGAGGTCAGGTCTAGTTTCCTGACAGCTTTATTCTCCTTTATCTCTTTCTCACTAAACCTAAGCTGGAAAGGGAGAGACTCCATGTGGCATGTCCTTGTTCTGCCATAGGGCAGTATTTATTACTTTTTCATTCAGCTGACAAAGTTTAAAGATAAGTACAATATTAAACACCCATATACTCTTCACCTAGATTTCACCAATTGTTAATGTTTTGCCATATTTACTTGCCCTTTCTGTATATGTACATACATATATTTTCTTGTTGTTGAACGGTTTGAGGGTAACTTGCATTTGTCTTGACACTTTATGTTGAATATGTCAGCATTTCCTAAGAATAAGAAAATTCTCCAATAAACCACAATTCCTTTTTCCCACCTAATATAAATAACAACTCTGTGATATTATCTAATATCCATTTCATAATGCAAATTTCCCAAACTGTCCCAAAAATATTTTATAGCTACTTTATATCTATTCTCTCTCCCCCCCCAGTTAGCATCTCAGCAAATCCTATGGTGTGATCTCTAGTCTCTTTGAATCTGTAACAGCATACCCTGCAAACAGCACACCTTTTTAATTTTTATTTCAAGACATTGACTTATTAATTTTTTTTAGAGCATGCGAGTGGTGGGGTGGGGGCAGAGGGAGAGGGAGAGAAAATATTAAGCAGGCTCCATGCCCAGTGTGGAGCTTGACATGGGGCTCGATCTCACAACCCTGAGCATCATGACCTGAGCCAAAATCAAGAGTCGGACGCTTAACCAACTGAGTCACCAGGTGCCCTGTGACATTGACTTTTTGATACGTCCAGACGAGTCCCCTTGTAGAATATTCTGTATTCTTAGTTTGGCTGATTATTTCCTCATAATGTTTTACAACTTGTTCTCCAACCCTTGCCCTTTTTAAGAAACTAGGCATTATGGATAGAAGTTTGATTAGACTCAGATTAAACATTTTTTAGAAAGAATACTTGATTAGTGATGTTGGGTAGGTCACATTGCTTCATGTTAGGCACATAATTTCAGGCTGTCTTACTACTAGTGATGCTAAAATTTGGTCACCTGGTTAAGATGGTGACCCCTACCCCCTTCCAGTCTCACCATGGAAAAGGATACTTTTCCCTTTGCAGTTTGCAAATAATCTACAAACAACCTGTTCTCAACAACTTCTCATTTGATAGTTTGAATACCCATTTTAGTCCTTGCCTGAATAGGTTATTTCATTGGGGGCTGCAAAAATGGTGCCCTAGCTATTATACTCTGTATTCATTAGCTGGCATTCTTCTGTAAAAAGAGCTTTCTTTTAAGAAAACTATTTTAATGAATCTCTCGGTGGCAAGTTGGATAGTGGTTTGCTTTCAGTTTTGTTGAAAGCAATCAGAAAACTCAGGATTTTTAAAAGGATTTGTTACTCAATTTTGGGGGCCGGTCACTAATATCTCAAGATCATCCCCAATATTTCCAGTTGTTCCTTCAGTTCTCAGGAGCTTTTTTAAATTCAGGCAGTGCACCACTGTAGGATTTGAGGTAAAGGTGGGTGAGAGTTCACCATTCTATGATAAAATGGAAGGAAAACTAGTAGGTGGGAACCAAGAATCAGTATGGCATCCTGACTGCACAGGTTTTCAGGAAGATCAGCTTTAGAAAGCATACTTGTGGAAGTTGAGGGTCTAGAAATTAGTTCCCATAAAACTGTCTGCATGCTCTTGGACCTCTTGGAAAGTTTTTGTCTGCCCCCGTCTCAAGACCTCTCTAGAGTACCAAACACTCTAAGCAAATTCTCCCATGTTTGGTTGATGACAAGTAAAAGCATAAATAAAGGAATTTCAAGAATGACTTTCAAAAGAACAGCCTGGATTTCAAGGCTTTTGTCTTGCTGCACACTCCTGTTTTGAATTTCAGAAGCTGAATATATTAATTCCTTCTTTCTTTCCATTCCTTTTGTAACTTGAAACAGTGCCACACTCCCTATTTCCAAGGCAAATTGATTCCCAGGCAAAGGAGAAAAAAAATCACATAAATCATTTTCAAAATATTACCCCAATTACAAGTATTGTGGAGTTTTGATGGAAGACACTGTCTTTTTATTTTCTTCCAAATGACCAGGAATAAGTTTGGTGATTACAAGTTTAAGATTTTTTAAGCACAATTAGTATATTACACCACATGTTTAATAATATTCTGGATTATGATTCCTTGAAAAATTATTATTTTATCATTAAGTCATAATGTACCCATGTAATCATCCTAAAAGGAATGAATAATTTGGTCTTTTTTTTTTTTTTGTCTCAAGTAATTAGAAGCAATCTTTTTGATTTCTCCTGTTGGAGGCCCTTAGTAGTGAATCACATTACATTACATTTGACAACTTATTTTTAGTCTAGTCCATTATTCACGATGCAGAATAGTATAGTATAGTGTGCCTGCTCTGGAGTCCGATTAAATAGTTCCAAAGCCTTGTTCCCACACTAACTAGCTGTGCAGTTCGGAGCACATTCCTTATCTTCTGGAAGCCTCAGTCTCATCTATAAAACAGGAGAGATCATTATAGTACCTGTCTCACAGTTTGGTAGGAGGACTAAGTGACATGTGCTAAACACCTGGCACATGTTACATATTAACTGTTTGTGTTGTTGTTGTTACTATTATTACTGGCTAAGAAAAGGGAGATGATACTGAAGTCACTATCCTGCTGGCTCTCTAAGAATTTCTTCAGACACCTATCTAGCTTTCCTGATAAATGAATTTTCTAAAAGCAGCAAGTATCAGAATTAGCAGAGTTGCAATTCTCTGTGAGTCTTATATAGAAAAACTGGAATTAACCTGACTTTTCTCCTAAAATAAAAAGTAATTATGTCTTTTTTTTTTTTTTTTAAAGATTTTATTTATTTATTTGACAGAGAGAGACACAGCGAGAGAGGGAACACAAGCAGGGGGAGTGGGAGAGGGAGAAGCAGGCCTCCCGCCAAGCAGGGAGCCTGATGTGGGGCTCGATCCCAGGACCCTGGGATCATGACCTGAGCCGAAGGCAGACACTTAACGTCTGAGCCACCCAGGCACCCCAGAAGTAATTATGTCTTAAGCTGTGAATGTTGAGCCAGGAAGGAACTTTGATTTCTTGAAATTATACTCCAGCTCCCCTGTGCAACCTCTTTTTTTTTTTTTAACAGAATTTGCATTCCTGCACATTGAAAGTATTTCTGCCTCCAAAAATAAATATTTAGAATTGCCATGGTAAGGACTCTGAGTTAGAAACAATCAGTTCTATGCCAGTCTCATGAGACAAATGTAGAGCTAGCTTAAATTCCTGATTTGGGGTAGTCCAAATTCTGTCTAAAGGACTGACCTTAAACTAGTCTAATTTATTTTTATTCAAAATGATTGTGCAACTCACATTAGAAAATATTTGTCCTTTCTCCCATAACATTGTAAAGCATTCACAAATTGTTCCTTGCGTCAGCAGTCAGGTGTGGTTCTGAAGTATCTCCCAGTTAAGGCTGTTGGGACTTAGTTGGAGAAATCTGCTCCTGTGTCCTTTCCCCCTCCTCTGGGATGGCACTCCACAGTCATTCTGTGAAGCTGGCATTTTCATTCAGTTGCACCTAAATAGATCTTTAGGAGAAAGAAGCAATGGAATATGGAGGGAGTGACCATCGCAGTGTCCATACTAATTTCCAGAATCCTTTTAATATTTAGGGTCAGCAACAATTCGGTAAGGAGAGGGCCCATGAGGTAAATTTGGCTCTGAAAATGCTAATTGAAAGTCCTCCTCAGCAATTCAGTCCTTTTCCCTCTCCCTTTCTTTAGTCAGCAGGGTCCCATGGTGACCGGTTCTGAAAGAAATCATCCCCTTCAGCAGTCACCTAGCACCATGGCAACAGGGACGTCAGCAAAGCAGGATAGACCCTGCACAAAACAGCTTCTACCAGGCTCCCTCCCTGCCTCTCTAATTCAACCCTGCCTGAGGCCTAGGAATGGGGCTAAGGACATCTTGACATACACACTCAAAAAAATCCTATGTGTTTCTGTGTTTTATTTTGTTTTGTCCATAAGCATAGATATATGGGCATATAGTAGACTATGTTATGAGAATTTCCCCTCCCCCCAAAACATGGAGCGTATCTAAGGGGTGGGGATGGTGGGGTAGCATGGGGACTGGGAGGGAGGTAGGCATGGGATGGTCTTTTTGGGTTTAATGAAACATAAAAATTATATTTATGTTTATAAGGTAACAATAAGTTGATAGTAGGGGAAGCCAGAGCCCTAATTATATGGACTGACTTATATTTAGACACAAGGCCTCAGAGAAATATTTTAAAAATATTTTTATTTACCTGAGAGTGAAATAAACAAATGCCTTTAATGAGCGCTTGAAGGGGGTGTAATGCTGTCCTTGGTGCTGAACAGTCTGTTGTCTCAGACGTGCTAAGGGGGCTCCAGAGGGGAGTGAGGGAGCACCTTGTCACGTTAGGGTGTTGATGATAAGAAAGAAAAAAGAGGCTGGGAAGAAAGTATCCTTCCCCTCCCTACCAAGCAACTCTGAATGTCCAGAATAAAATGTTCAGGTGAAAAATAAAACAAAAAAGAAAGTGGAGAAGGCTGGAGGTTTGGTTGAATTTTCTCCTTTTCATATGGAGATTTTTGGTCAGAGCCAATCAGGTCAGAGATTTCTGCTGCTTTACTCCTGAAAGGAAAAGTGGGGGAAGGGAGATAGAAGATGGCCACATTCTCCCCTTGAGCCACATGATCCATTTCCCATGTGACACATTCCAGAGCCTTGGAAAGGAGAAGGGAGGGGCACCAAGAGAGTGGGCTGGGGGCGGGAAGATGGTTTAACAGTCAACCAGCACAGCGTCATCTTGTCTTCCTACCAGGAAGCAGGCTATGAGCCAAGGGGAAGGCAGAGGACAGAAATGAATGTGCTCCCAAGCTTTTCTGGTGGTGTATGGCATTCTCCAAACTCCTATGCAAGCGCCGTTCCTGACCAAGAAGACCCAAGGAGACCATCTCTGAAATCAAGTCCAGATGAAGGTATGTGCTAGGGATCCCATGGTATCGCGGCTGAAATTTGGCTTACAGGACATAATACCTTCTTTTTTCCAGGCAATTTGGAGATTTTTGTCCTGGCTTAGATTTGGTTAGGGGGCTTTAGATTTGTTACAGGTCTAGAAAAGCTGCTTAGATAGTTCTGTAAAATGAATGATTCACCAGAGTAAGTGCCTGTTGAAGAAAAATTGATGGAAATTGTGTGCAGTGATAATTAATAAAACAAAGCACTAATTGATGACAGTGATTTTTTTCTTTGAGTCCTGGAAAGAGGAAACAATATTACTGAAATCAACTAAATTTCATTGTCACTGCAATAAAATCTTGTCTCCCTTTTCAGTTGCTTATTCTGTGTGCCCATGTTCCCAGAGGTGATTGGCAGTGGCTTAGGGAGCCTGAGTGGGCAGGCGTGCTGTTTCTTTGTGCTGTGCAGTTGTCTGTCTTCTGATGTTCCTGATACCAGGAGAGCTCATGATTATTTCCATCTCTTGTTTGGGATAGTAGAGTGCCACTGACTTCCAAATCTTACAGAATAGCTATCAAGAAGGCTCCCAGGAAGTTCTCAAAGGAATCTTCCAAAGTTACAGCCTAAAATAACCTGCCATGTACTCAAATCTTGGTATCTTTACCATTTCTACCCAGCACAAAGAGGGAAGCTAGCAAATTTAAATTTTATTTCATCTTTAACAATACTTAAAAAGGTCTTGCTATGTGCAAGACGTCATTATAAGCACAAATAGTCATTTAATCCTTATAATAACCCTCTGAGGGAGGTAATAGTACTCACATTTTGGTAATGAAGAAACTAAGGCACAGAGAAGTTAGGGAACATTTCTAAGATCACACAGCTAGCAAATACTAGAAACAGGATTTGGACCCAAGAAACTTGACCCCAGAGTCCATGATTTTAACTACTAACCTATGCTTCTTCCCTGCTTGTGTTATTTCAAATAATGTCAACAGTTGATTTGGCTACAAATTTTGTTCAGCTGACGCTACTAGAAGAACAAATCAGCTTGCCTGGCTGAAACAGATCCCCAGGGGAATCTATATTTAATCTTAAATTATCTCAATAGTCACCTTCTGTACCCCCAGATAACCCAGTAAGTAATTGCCTGTTCTTCTCTTCCTTTTGTGCTGTATAGATATCTGGTAGTAAAATACTGTGTTACTATGGTGACCAAATGATGTCCAAAGGCAAAAAAGAAATCTAGAATTACATCATGGTTGATTTTTTTTTTTTAATTGAACTTAACATTCTTTCATCCTCTGAACCTTAGTAATAATACCAGCCTAAACATACTATCTTTAAAAAGCACTTACTTGGTTTTCAAAATAAAATAAATAGATTAAAAACTTTTTAAAATTATGAATACAAACTGTGGTATCGAACGGACTATATCTATTGCTTTAAAATAATATTACCATACTTCAAGAGAATAGATTACTCTCTTTGCAAATTATATTAGGTTTTTAAGGGAAAAAGGAATTTTTTTCTTAACTTCTAGAAATTTCTGAAATATAAAGATTTCTTCCTTTTGGTCTGTGGAGTTTCCCTTCTGGCTCTTGACAATAAATGATGACTGATCTCAATCTTATATGCTACAGAAAAACTAAGGGAAATTACTAGGTTAAAGATAATAAGGAGGAAGAAAAGGGATAGAAATCTAAAATTGTGAAATTCTTTACTAAATGAGGTATTTCCCTTCAGGGTTTCACTGAAGAATACTTTGAAGAGTGGTTGTGTGTCCCCTACAATACTGAACTTCAGTCTTTTATATTAAGCCCTGGATCCCTGCTGAAATCTGTTTTCCTGGGACAAATACCACATTTACACTATTATAGTCACCTGAAGTGAGCTTCTTGAGTGAAGGGACCATATCTTCCATCATTGGGTTTCTAGCACTTAGCACCAGGCCTGGTGTATGGTAAGCTCTCGATATCCATTTGCAAAAGCTCTGAAAGCATTCTGCTGGGGCCTGTTTGGGGGCCCATGTCTGTTTTGTTCTGCATGTACTTATAGGGAGGACAGTGAAGAAGTACATGTGTAGTGGGAGAGACCTTGACAACAGCCAAAATTATGTCTGAAATTTATACATGCCAGTCAGACTAACTCGAGCAGTAGCCCAGTAGAGTCCAAGAACTATCCATAAATTCTTTCCTGGGGATTACTAATCCCCCTGACATTTCATTTATCTTTAGAATGAAGTTCTCCTGGTATTTTTATTTATATCTAGATATAGAGGCGCCCTAACAGTCTTATTTTCTTCTTGTGTTTGCCTGGCACCATCTACCAACACTGAAATAGTTCACCTTGGGTTGAAACTGAACGTGTTGAGGTCAGTTCCGGCCCCAGGCAGGCTTCTCCTAATCAGCTGTGGCTCCCAGTCCTCAGAATGCTGAACCAAGAGCTCACAGGACTAGAGGACTCCCCGCCCCGAGAACCCTGGGATCGTTAGTGTCAGAGTAGATTGGAGCCAGGCTGCCTTTCCCAAACCATGGCAGCTAGGACTTGAGTGCAAAAGATTTTCTCAGGGTATCTGGAAAGGTTGCTTAGGATTTGAATTCAAGTTAGCAGGCTAACTGGGGTTAAAATAATCCTCTCTCTTGGAGCTCCCGTGCTACTCTTGATCTCAGGGTCATGAATCCGAGCCCCACATTGGGTGTAGAGATTGTGTAAAAAAATAAAAATAAAAAAATAAAATAGTCATGTCTCTCGATGATATTCACAAACATAACCTATTCTATTATTCCCATCTAATTAAGTCACTAAGGAGAGGAAGAATACGGTTTGTAGATAAGGTGTGGGTCCTTGAATCCTATCCACTCATCCTCCTTACCTCCAGTGTTACCTGCTGAGTGAGTTGTGCAAAAGAAACAGCCCTGCTGGAAGCCCAGTAAGGCCAGGCATGCGCTGCATGCCCACCACACTCCTGCAGGGCTTCTCAGAGAAGTGGGACTGGTGTCCTCTACAGCCTTGGGTCTGGAAGCCTCGCTGGGCTTCCCACTCATCTCTCAAATCTACCAGCTCTACTCAACCCAGATCAAACAGAGAGAAAGTAGAGAGGCATCCCCTTATGGAGAGGCCTTGCCAAGTGTGCTTTCAACTTGGAGGCTAGGGATGAAAGAGGAGATAGGAAGGGGGCAGTGAGCATGGGGCACAGATAAGAGAAAGTGAGGCCTGGGTCCTGCCTTTCAGGCACAGTCACTTGCCCGCTGCTAGTAAACCCTGCCACCTGAGTCAGGCCCTGCGAGCCCAATGACTGGATCATTTCCTAGCATATGTGTACGTAGGGAAGGAGGAAGCAATGGACAGAAGAACCAGAGTATGGACGCAACTTCTCCTTTATGAACCATGACAAAAAAACGGCATGAGCTGAGAGGTGGTCTCTCCAAGAGGACAGTTTCAAAAGTAAAAGAGGGGTACCATAATGAATATATTTTCCTGTTTATAGGGTCATTTTCCCTTGGCTAAACTTTTAAAGCTATCATCTCAGGGAGCCTCTCATTCGGCATACTTTCCTAGGCACTGGATGTCTGTCATGTGTAATCCTGATAGAGACTCTGCGATATAGGTTATTAGCCCCCATTTCTGATCCAGGAAACTGAAGCCCAGCGACATTAACCAACCTGCCCAGAGTCCCGCACAGCAAATAGAGCCAGGATCTGAATTCCCCGTGCTCTTTCTGCTCTATCACAAGTAAAGTTCTTTCCTCTGTATTCTTTAAAAATAAATATGTTTTTGGATATTAAGTTAATATAAATATAGTTCTAGAAAATTTGGGAAATGAAGAGAAATTATAGAAGTGTAAGGAGAATAGGGGCACCTGGGTGGCTCAGTCAGTTAAGCATCTGACTCTTGGTTTCAGCTCAGGTCATGATCTCATGGTTGTCGGATCGAGCCATATGCCGGGCTCTGTGCTCAGTGCAGAGTCTGCTTCAGAATCTTTCTCCCTCCCTCTTCATCTCCCCCTTCTTCACTTGAGTGCTCTGTCACTCTCAAATAAATAAAAATCTTAAAAAAAAAAACAAAACAAGAAGTGTAACAAAAATAAAAACCAGTCATGATCTTGCCACCTAGAAACAACCACTATTAAAATTCTGGTATATTTCTTTCTCAGTCTTTCTCAGTACATCCAGTGATTACGAAAGGAAACATTTGTTGAGCACTGGTTTTGTCTCAGACATTGTTCTTAGCTCCTTTCTTGCGTCATTTATTTTATTCTCACAACAAATCAATAAGGTGGGTACCATTATTATCCTAATTTCATTGGTAAAGATAATAAGGACAAAGATGTTAAGTAACTTGGTAGAGGCTACACAGGTATTAAGTGATCTGAAACCCAGGCTGGTTGCTTTATGGCAGGGTTTCTCAACCTTAGCACTGTTGGTATTTGGGGCCAGCTACATCTGTGTGGCGGGGGACTGTCCGAGTTTATTGTAGATGGTTAGCAGTGTCCCTGGCCTCTACCTACTGGATGTCAGTAATACCCCCCTTCCCCAGGTGTGACATCAAGAATGCCTTCAGACATTGCCACATGTCCCCTGGGAGGCAAAATGACCTGTGAACCACAGCTCTAAGAGCCCATGCTCCCAATCACTGCATTATATAGCCCCTTCATATTTAAAATCTGCTAAGAGTTCTTTTCTTCCACATCTAAAGAAGGAAACATACCTTCGAGTTTGGTTGCAGCCTATAAACCTTTTGGAATATCAGCGGCTTTATAGATCATAGGTAGGAGATTAGTCACTTCCAGAAAAATGCTCCTTAGTAGACTTTTATAACAGGTTTATAGTTTCCCACCGTTGCCCAGTTGGAAAAATAACCGTATTTCTCTCTCTTACAGTCTTTTTTCCCCGGTTCTCTGTGACAGGCACCCTTAGCCTTCAAGAATTCAGATTTCAGGGACACCAGCATGGCTCAGTCGGTTAAGTGTGTCTAACTCTTGATTTCGGCTCAAGTCATGATGTCAGGGTCATGATCT